AAGCTGTCTGATTGGACCATCGCATATCGGAAACAACCAATGAAATAGAAGATATGTGTGCATGGAAAATGGAAGTGTGAACACTCACCGTTTGATTAAAAACATTGCAACCGAAATAAACTTATATAAAAAAAAGATTTAACAATAATAATCTGTCGCATTCCTATCATATCTACTTTTACTTTGGACGGTACATGTAATCAATGAGGAAGTCTTAAATGGAAACAAAAAGAACTGTTACACTCAGAACTAGAAAGATGCAGTCGAAGTTAGAGAGATAACCAATCTAGCGGACCCCCCACTGGAGAGGTCGCGATATAACATAGCTTGTGCGCGCCAATAAGGGTATATGTCACATGAGGCCGATTATCATTCTGAAAAAATAAATCAAGAGATGCTACAAAGTATAAAAGTTATAAGGATGTTCACAGAGAATATTCAGACTAAGTTCGTAATACTGAAACAACTAAAAAGACTTAAAGTTAGTTTGAAAAAAAAGTAAAAAGAACTTACCTCATGGACGTCCGAACGTAAAAAGAACGTGGGGAAGCCATATTGTTTTATATGCTGACAAATTAACGCAAAATCACGGCGACCACGAGATTTGAGAAAATATAAATATGCAGTGCACGAAAGACGTGGTGGGGGTGAGAAAAGGATATTAGTCTACAATCTGTATACTTTGTCCCTCAGGATTAGCGCCAACTAAGGAATTTAGGCTAGACTCTCGAATTTAAACGACATTAAGTCTATTAAAAATCTAAATGAACTTGCTATATTAAATTGAAGGGAGAACTCAATGAAGAAATGGTCAAGGTAATGAAGATATATAACGTCTGCTTTTGATCACGTGAACGGAGTAGCGAAGGTGCTACGACTAGGCCTATTTCCGAGTCAATTGATCGTATCAAATAGTAAGAAACAGGTAGCGACCTCATTAGCAGAATAGCAAAGCGCCAAAGGAAGTTTCAAAACTAGAAACATGTCTTGCCTGTATTATCTGTTGTCATCCTGTCCAACCTAATTGGATTACGTCTGGGTCACCAATTTGTAGCGGAACCCCTGGATGGGCTGCGATAGAACATGGCCTCTGCGCCCTAATAAGAGATAGATGTCACAAGAGGACCACTAATATTTTGAAAAAATTAACTCAGAGTTTCTACAAAGTATAAAATGTTTACAAAATGTATTCAAACTAAATTCGTAATACTAAAACATCTAAAAAGACATAAAGTCCAATAGAAATCTAAATATCTTAAATACATACATATATATATATATATATATATATATATATATATATATATATATATATATATATATATATTAAAAACAACAGAAATGTTATATTGTAGGCCATGATAGATTTAAAACAAAACACACACCAGTCGACCGGTTTCGTCACTTCTCATCAGAACTGTTAACGGGGAACTAAAATTATGAGGAAAAGAAAAAGAAAAAAAAAGTCGAAGAGGGGAAAAAACCGGTCGACTGGTGTGTTTTTGTTTTAAATCTATATAACCTAACAATATAAAATTTCTTGTTTTAATGCTTTAATACGCTTTTTGTACCGTTTCAAACATATATATATATATATATATATATATATATATATATATGAAATTGAAGAGTATTGGGCGACACAATGAAGAAAAGATGAAGATCATGAAGATATATAAAGTCTCCCTTTGATAACGTGAACGAAATAGCGAAGGGGCCACGATATGAGGAATGAGTGCTAGGGAACCATTCACAGACCGTATTCAGGGCAAGATTCCTACCTGACGAACTCCTGTGACAAGATGGCGAAACGGCGATGGGGGGGGGCGGAGCTTTAGCAAACGGGGAAAGAGTGATTTGGAGTTGAGGAGAGCCATGATCGCCGAAAGAACTGAAAAGATGAGGTACATTAAAAAATAAAATCTCAGTCTCTTTATAGCTATCGTTCTTTCTCACCATATATATATATATATATATATATATATATATATATGTCGTAGATTTTATATATGTCTATTAGTCTGTTCATATTTATCTATAAGTCTTATTCTATCTATCTGTCTATCAGTCTTGTCACCTCTCCCCTTATCTCTCTCGATCAGCCTGTTCGTCTCTCTCTATCTCTTTCTCTCTCTCTCTCTCTCTCTCTCTCTCTCTCTCTCTCTCGCTATATATTAGCCTGGTCATTTCTCTCTCTATCAGCGTAGTCATGTCTCTCTCGCTCACTCTTTCTATCTATCAGCCTCCCATTTCACTGTTTATTAACCTGGTCATTTCTTTCTCTCTCTCTCTCTCTCTCTCTCTCTCTCTCTCTTTCTCTCACACACACACACATACGAACTGATGTTATGGAATAACCTGCTACCCCCATGAGTGGTGGCACTATAGTTGGTAACCACATATAAGTATCCGTTAGGATAGCGAACGAGAGAGTCGATCTGGGATCTGCGAGAACTAGCGGCCTTCCTATAGCAGCACGCACACAACTGTACTGACTTGCGACGTCCGTACGCATAACTATTACTTCCTTGCCTGTTGTACTGGTTTCTACAATAAACCTGTTACTATTTATCCACCTTGTTTGCCCATTCAATATTCCTGTTAGCACGGAATATAACACACACACTGACTCTCTCTAACTATTTATCTATCAGCCTGGTTTTCTCTCCCCTCTCCTCTCGTTTTCCCTCTATCAACATTAAAGCCTGTCATCTCTCTCTGTCTCTTTCTCTCCCCTCCCTCTCTCTCTCTTCTGTTATATATATATATATATATATATATATATATATATACATATATTATTCACAGACGGACTGTTTCACTGTTTTACAGCTTATCAGTGTACACACACACATATATATATATATATATATATACATATATATATATATATATATATATATATATATATATATCTTCGATCTGCTTCAACCAATGTTGGATTTTCCTGTGAAGTGGTCAGCCTGGTGCGGTTTTAATCATGTGTCAGAAGACGTGACACCCATCATGCAGGAACCTTCGTCGTACCAAGTTCATTGTGCGGAATATTTTCAACTCTCTCACGGAATATCTTAATGGCATTGGCTCTTTTATTTATCATCAATCCCCTGTCATCCATCACCATGTGATGAACACAATCAACGTTTCCTTGGCTGGTGGCACTTGCAGAGAGTCCAGATCATGGGTTATTTTCTAGACTATACCTTCTTCACCAAAACTTCAGCGGACCACATTTGCACCGTTCCTAAAAGTAGAGCGTCATCCCATGAAATAGCAGCTATGTCAATATGACTATACTTTCGGGCTAATTGATAACACGACGATAACGAATTTTGTCCATTTACTTGTGAAAACTTCTTTGAATGTGAGTTTATCTGGAAATAAACAATGCAGCTACGAATAAGATTTGAAATTAATGTCTACACAATTTCACAGCTCTAGCATCACTCCTTCATAATCAGCCTATAAACATTTCAGCCCACCCCCGAATATGGAAGAAAACAATGCAGTTATTAATAAGAAGAGTTGAAATGAATTCTTGTAAGATTTCAAAGCTCTAGCATCATTCCTTTATAGTCAGCCTATGAACATTTCAGCCCACACTCGCACATGGAAGAAAACAATGCAGTTATTAATAAGAAGAGTTGAAATGAATGCATGTAAGATTAAAAAGCTCTAGCATCATTCCTTTATAGTCAGCCTACGAACATTTCAGCCCACACTCGCACATGGAAGAAAACAATGCAGTTATTAATAAGAGGAGTTGAAATGAATGCATGTAAGATTAAACAACTCTAGCATCATTCCTTTATAGTCAGCCTACGAACATTTCAGCCCACACTCGCACATGGAAGAAAATAATGCAGTTATTAATTAGAAGAGTTGAAATGAATGCATGTAAGATTAAACAGCTCTAGCATCATTCCTTCATAGTCAGCCTATGAACATTTCAGCCCACACTCGCACATGGAAGAAAACAATGCAGTTATTAATAAGAGGAGTTGAAATGAATGCATGTAAGATTAAACAGCTCTAGCATCATTCCATTATAGTCAGCCTATGAATATTTCAGCCCACCGTCGGATCTGGAAAAAAAACAATCCAGTTATTAATAAAAGTTGAAATTAATTCTTGCAAGATTTCACGCCTCTAGCATCACTCCTTTATAGTCAGCCTATGAACATTTCAGCCCACCTTCGTACCTGGTAAGAAACAATGCAGTTATTAATAAGAGTTGAAATTAATTCATGCACTTTTTCACACCTATGAACTTATCAGCCCACCCTAATACTTGGAAAGAAAAAATGCAGTTATTAATAAGAAGAGTTCAAATTAATGCATGCAAGATTTCACAGCTCTAGCAACACTACTTCATAGTCAGCCTATGAACATTTCAGCCCACCCTCGTACCTGGAAACAAACAATGCAAGCTATTAACAAGAAGAATTGAAATTTATGTGAGCAAGTTTTCTCAACTCTAGTATCATTACTTCATAGTCAGCCTATGAAATGTTGCGCCCACCCTTGTATAGTTGAGTGCTGAGATATTTTTGGATGTGTTTGGCGTCACGAATGAAAACTCTCTAAAACATAATATATATATTAACACTCAGAAACGCTGGCTTATATGGTGTGTGTCGTAGACGGAAGCATCATTTCAGATGTGTAACAAGTTTTGAAGCGATGGTGTTTTTGCAATAAAATATAATGAAATATAAATCTCCGGGACGAAGAGCTGCTGGGTAAAATTCGATTTTGCCCCGTCGAATAAAAACTATTTTATTAACTTAACACTTTTTATTGCTCGCCAAAAACTCCAGCCCAATTCCAAATTAGGAACGAAAATGGCGCTCGCTGTAGAGCAATATTTTTTCAGAGTGGCGTGAAAGATCAAGCTGTTGCAGTTGGATGTCTTTAGAGAGCGCAGCTTCTGATGACTTCTAGACGGTTAGGTTGAACTGATTAAACAGATCTCTATTCAGCTGTGCGTCTGTAATGTAATGGTAAAATGTGGCGTGAAGCTGTTGCAAGCGGTTTCGATCCGCATCGAGTTCGTCTGTCGAATCGGTAGGCACGAAGTTTTGGCATTATTTCTGGAATCAGCTATTTTTTTAATCCGGCAAACATATGATCACAAACCTTTGATTCCAGTGTAGTATTTGTTTGTTTTTTTTTTTGTGTTTTTTTGTGCTTTTTATTTATGTATTTATTTTGTCAATCCTTTTCTGCAGGTATGAGTCATGTAATCTGACTCTTAATTAATCTGACCAACTTTTGTTTTTAATCGAAACTGTTGTATTTATTTTTATTTAGTTTTCTCAATAAAAGGCTCAAGAGCAATTTAACACGGAACCGCCATATAGCCTGACGTGCTATACCAGTTTAGCTACGAAGGAAGCGTCTGTTTAGTAAGATTGAATTACTGCTTTTTTAAAGCACTAATTCGACCTTGCTAAGTAGTCAATATATGACGGTTGCGTGTATGACCAAGATATATGACGGTTCCGTGTAGGATACAGGTTCGATTCCTATCGAAGGACGCATATTTTCTATGAAATTTCTCAGAAATTCAGACCGGAAAATGTTGTTAATACTGTTTATTATAAACTGATCATTCACTTAAATATTTGTCTATATAAATAATGTATAACAATAAAATATATTAAAATAATTGTCGGACTTAGTCCATTTAGTATATATATAGTTGTATATTTAGGCAGCAATCAAGAAAGCTCTTGTTAGAACACAAGAAAAATTAAATAAAAAGCTCAACTGTAGTACATGGTCTGTCGTTTTTAATGAAACATGCATATATATTATATATAATTAAATTCCAAGATCAATTCTGTGGACAAGAAAAATTGGTATAAAATGACAATTGGAAAAATATATATATATATATATATATATATATATATATATATATATATATATATATATACCGTCGTCTCGGACAGACTGTTTCGCTGTATCTCAGCTCATCAGTGTGGATAGAAATACGATCGCTTCAAGCCAGGACCAAATCCCGACCGATTTGGCATCAGTCAAAGATTCTAATCCTTAGGCTATGACCGCCCTGCAGAAACGGCGAATTTTTGCGTATTTATTTTTTCATAAACACGCCAGTAACCTTGAGAACTCAATCCGGCTGGAGAGTCTTGCATTATCAACAGTCCAATGACAATATATATATTAAACATTAATTATTATTAAGAAAAAAGACAACTTCGAATTCCAGTGGAATCCATTACATTCACTTACGTGCTAATAACCTTGGGAAAGGTATTAATTCTTTTCTTCACCCTTCAGCTACGAGTAAACAGAAGGGCAGACTGGGTTCTATAGCCTTGTTTGGTAATTGTTCAAGAGAAGGAAAACTCGGAATTAAAAACCTGTGGAGTGTTGTTTGGAGACCGTGTGGCACGTAGTGCATCAGGTCTCTGTATTCGGTTCTTCAAAAAGTGTGGTTGGTTCTGCACAAAGCCTTCACCACTATAATCAAATCATATGTGCTGGTGTCTGGCTGTCAATTCCTAAGAAGTGATCTACTTGACCCTCATACATCGAATACAACGGGAGAACCCATATATATATATATATATATATATATATATATATATATATATATGTGTGTGTGTGTGTGTGTGTGTGTGTGTGTGTGTGAAAATATATAGAAAATAGGAAAAGAACTGGTTAGGTAAATAATCCATAGTTCCTTAGTATTTTAGTTATTATTTTTAAAAAAATAGTGCTCGATACAAAATTATTTGAGCATAAATATAATTATTTATTTAAAAATATGATTCAACTCGCGACATAAGAGGTCTCATGATTCAAAACATGAGACCTCTTATAAATTCTTATTTTAAAAATTTTTTTAAAAAAATATATATATATATATATATATATATATATATATATATATATAGAGAGAGAGAGAGAGAGAGAGAGAGAGAGTAAGAGAGAGAGACTATATCACAGCTCATCAATGTGACTAGACATGCGATACGACACTGAGTAGATATATATATTTCGGGAATCGGAAGAGATATGTGTGCAAAATCACCATCCGCGCGTTGTTTGATCAGGCGGTCTTACGTGGGCGAGAGATCAAGGCAAGTCATACATATATAGGGTGGGGCAATAAAGTCCCTCTAGAGTTATTTATAATAAAAAAGCAAAGCATTGAAGCAGGTGACATGCAAATCCAACAGTATTGGTAATTACTATTCTGCGGTAGGGCGCATATTTTGCTATCCGTTCACATCTATCAACCTTAATCTGTTCATTATCTATCTATCTATCTATCTATCTATCTTGGTCTGTTCATATCTATCGATCTATCTTAGTCTGTTCATATCTTGCTATCTATTTATCTTAGTCTATTCATATCTATCAAGCTATCTATCTTAGTCTATTCATATCTATCTATCCTAGTCTGTTCATATCTATCTATCTATCTATCCTAGTCTGTTCATATCTATCTATTTATCTATCTATCCTAGTATGTTCATATCTATCTATCTATCTATCTATCTACCTATCTATCCTAGTATGTTCATATCTATCCTAATCTGTCCATATGTTCTATCTATCCTATCTCTGTTCATATCTATCTATTTATCTATCTATCTATCTGTCTATCCTAGTCTTCATCATCTATCTATCTATCTATCTATCCTATCTATCTATCTATCTATCATTAGCCTATCTATCTATCTATCTATCTATCTATCTATCTAATCTGTTCTCCTATCTGTCTATAATCTATCTATCTATCTATCTATCTATCTATCTATCCTAGTATGTTCATATCTATCTATCTATCTATCTATCTATCTATCTATCTATCCTAGTATGTTCATATCTATCTATCTATCTATCTATCTATCTATCTATCTATCCTAGTCTGTTCATATCTATCCTAGTCTGTCCATATCTATCTATCTATGTTAGTCTGTTCATATCTATCTATCTTAGTTTGTTCATATCTATCATTATATCATATTCTGTTTGTATCTATCTATTTTTCATATTCTGTTTATATCTAGCCTAGTCTGTTCATATCTACCTATCTTTGTTCATATCTATCTATCTATCTTAGTCTGTTCATATCTATCATTCGATCATATTCTGTTAGTATCTATTCTTCATATTCTGTTTATATCTATCTTAATATGTTCATATCTATCTATCTTTGTTCATATCTATCTTAGTCCGTTCATATATATCTACCTATCTATGAGTATCTATTAAAAATAACGTTTAAACATATTAATTAAAAATGTGTTGGGTTTAATCCATTTCCTAAAAAGATTGCCATTTTTTACGTTAGGATCCAAACAGAGTAGATATGTATATTTCGAGAAACGAGAAAGATCAGGAGGTCATTCATGAGCGAGGGGTCGAGGCACGTCAGATCGAATGATGTTTTCCCCTAGGGGATGCAGGTTCGAATCCTGTAAGTTAGTCTGCTCTGTTCACTTCACATGCATTACGTTGCAAAACGTATATTCACTGCCATATAGTAGGATTGTTATTAAATAGCAGTTCAGCACTCTTTTCTTTGTTTGTCTTGCTTCAAGTCTCCTTTTCATCTGTGAGGAAATTGTCCAGCATTCACTGCCATATAGGAGGATTGATATTACATAGCAGTTCAGCACTCTTTTCTTTGTTTCTCTTGCTTCAAGTCTCCTCTTCATCTGTGAGGAAATTGTCCAGCATTCACTGCCATATAGGAGGATTGATATTACATAGCAGTTCAGCACTCTTTTCTTTGTTTCTCTTTCTTCAAGTGTCCTCTTTATCTGTGAGAAAATTGTCCAGCATTCACTGCCATATAGGAGGATTGATATTACATAACAGTTCAGCCTCTTTTCTTTGTTTCTCTTGCTTCAAGTCTCCTCTTCATCTGTGTGGGAAATTTGTCCAGCATTCACTGCCATATAGTAGGATTGTTATTAAATAGCAGTTCAGCACTCTTTTCTTTGTTTGTCTTGCTTCAAAAAAAACTCTTCATCTGTGAGCAAATTGTCCAGAATTCACTGTCATATAGGAGGATTGATATTACAAAAAAGTTCAAAACTCTTTTCTTTGTTTCTCTTGCTTCAAGTCTCCTCTTCATCTGTGTGGGAAATTGTCCAGCATCCACTGCCATATAGGAGGATTGATAAAACATAACAGTTCAGCACTCTTTTCTTTGTTTCTCTTAGGTCAGTTCTCCTCTTCATCTGTGAGGAAATTGTCCAGCATCCACTGCCATATAGGAGGATTGATGTTACATAGCAGTTCAGCACTCTTTTCTTTGTTTCTCTTGCTTCAAGTCTCATCTTCATCTGAGAGGAAATTGTCCAGCATTCACTGCCATATAGGAGGATTGATATTACATAACAGTTCAGCACTCTTTTCTTTGTTTCTCTTGCTTCAAGTCTCCTCTTCATCTGTGTGGAAATTGTCCAGCATTCACTGCCATATAGGAGGATTGATATTACATAACAGTTCAGCACTCTTTTCTTTGTTTCTCTTGCTTCAAGTCTCCTCTTCATCTGTGTGGAAATTGTCCAGCATTCACTGCCATATAGGAGGATTGATATTACATAACAGTTCAGCACTCTTTTCTTTGTTTCTCTTGCTTCAAGTCTCCTCTTCATCTGTGTGGAAATTGTCCAGCATCCACTGCCATATAGGAGGATTGATATTACATAACAGTTCAGCACTCTTTTCTTTGTTTCTCTTGCTTCAAGTCTCCTCTTCATCTGCGAGGAAATTGTCCAGCATTCACTGCCATATAGGAGGATTGATATTACACAGCAGTTCAGCACTCTTTTCTTTGTTTCTCTTGCTTCAAGTCTCCTCTTTATCTGTGAGGAAATTGTCCAGCATTCACTGCCATATAGAAGGATTGATATTACATAGCAGTTCAGCACTCTTTTCTTTGTTTCTCTTGCTTCAAGTCTCCTCTTCATCTGTGTGGAAATTGTCCAGCATTCACTGCCATATAGGAGAATTGATATTACATAGCAGTTCAGCACTCTTTTCTTTGTTTCTATTGCTTCAAGTCTCCTCTTCACCTGTGAGGAAATTGTCCAGCATTCACAGCCATATAGGAGGATTGATATTACATAGCAGTTCAGCACTCTTTTCTTTGTTTCTCTTGCTTCAAGTCTCCTCTTCATCTGTGAGGAAATTGTCCAGCATTAACTGTCATATAGGTGGATTGATATTACATAAAAGTTCAGCACTCTTTTCTTTGTTTCTCTTGCTTCAAGTCTCCTCTTCATCTGTGAGTAAATTGTCCAGCATTCACTGCCATATAGAAGGATTGATATTACATAGCAGTTCAGCACTCTTTTCTTTGTTTCTCTTGCTTCAAGTCTCCTCTTTATCTGTGAGGAAATTGTCCAGCATTCACTGCCATATAGGAGGATTGATATTACATAACAGTTCAGCACTCTTTTCTTTGTTTCTCTTGCTTCAAGTCTCCTCTTTATCTGTGAGGAAATTGTCCAGCATTCACTGCCATATAGGAGGATTGATATTACATAGCAGTTCAGCATTTTTTTTGTTTCTCTTGCTTCAAGTCTCCTCTTCATCTGTGAGAAATTGTCCAGCATTCACTGCCATATAGGAGGATTGATATTACATAAAGTTCAGCACTCTTTTCTTTGTTTCTCTTGCTTCAAGTCTCCTCTTCATCTGTGAGGAAATTGTCCAGCATTCACTGCCATATAGAAGGATTGATATTACATAGCAGTTCAGCACTCTTTTCTTTGTTTCTCTTGCTTCAAGTCTCCTCTTTATCTGTGAGGAAATTGTCCAGCATTCACTGCCATATAGGAGGATTGATATTACATAACAGTTCAGCACTCTTTTCTTTGTTTCTCTTGCTTCAAGTCTCCTCTTTATCTGTGAGGAAATTGTCCAGCATTCACTGCCATATAGAAGGATTGATATTACATAGCAGTTCAGCACTCTTTTCTTTGTTTCTCTTGCTTCAAGTCTCCTCTTCATCTGTGAGGAAATTGTCCAGCATTAACTGTCATATAGGTGGATTGATATTACATAAAAGTTCAGCACTCTTTTCTTTGTTTCTCTTGCTTCAAGTCTCCTCTTCATCTGTGAGGAAATTGTCCAGCATTCATTGCCATATAGAAGGATTGATATTACATAGCAGTTCAGCACTCTTTTCTTTGTTTCTCTTGCTTCAAGTCTCCTCTTTATCTGTGAGGAAATTGTCCAGCATTCACTGCCATATAGGAGGATTGATATTACATAGCAGTTCAGCACTCTTTTCTTTGTTTCTCTTGCTTCAAGTCTCCTCTTCATCTGTGAGGAAATTGTCCAGCATTCACTGCCATATAGGAGGATTGATATTACATAACAGTTCAGCACTCATTTCTTTGTTTCTCTTGCTTCAAGTCTCCTCTTCATCTGTGAGGAAATTGTCCAGCATTCACTGCCATATTGGAGGATTGATATTACATAGCAGTTCAGCACTCTTTTCTTTGTTTCTCTTGCTTCAAGTCTCCTCTTTATCTGTGAGGAAATTGTCCAGCATTCACTGCCATATAGGAGGATTGATATTACATAGCAGTTCAGCACTCTTTTCTTTGTTTCTCTTGCTTCAAGTCTCCTCTTCATCTGTGAGGAAATTGTCCAGCATTCACGGCCATATAGGAGGATTGATATTACATAACAGTTCAGCACTCATTTCTTTGTTTCTCTTGCTTCAAGTCTCCTCTTCATCTGTGAGGAAATTGTCCAGCATTCACTGCCATATAGGAGGATTGATATTACATAGCAGTTCAGCACTCTTTTCTTTGTTTCTCTTTGCTTCAAGTCTCCTCTTTATCTGTGAGGAAATTGTCCAGCATTCACTGCCATATAGGAGGATTGATATTACATAGCAGTTCAGCACTCTTTTCTTTGTTTCTCTTGCTTCAAGTCTCCTCTTCATCTGTGAGGAAATTGTCCAGCATTCACGGCCATATAGGAGGATTGATATTACATAGCAGTTCAGCACTCATTTTCTTTGTTTCTCTTGCTTCAAGTCTCCTCTTCATCTGTGAGGAAATTGTCCAGCATTCACTGCCATATAGAAGGATTGATATTACATAGCAGTTCAGCACTCATTTTCTTTGTTTCTCTTGCTTCAAGTCTCCTCTTTATCTGTGAGGAATTGTCCAGCATTCACTGCCATATAGAAGGATTGATATTACATAGCAGTTCAGCACTCTTTTCTTTGTTTCTCTTGCTTCAAGTCTCCTCTTCATCTGTGAGGAAATTGTCCAGCATTCACGGCCATATAGGAGGATTGATATTACATAACAGTTCAGCACTCATTTCTTTGTTTCTCTTGCTTCAAGTCTCCTCTTCATCTGTGAGGAAATTGTCCAGCATTCACTGCCATATAGAAGGATTGATATTACATAGCAGTTCAGCACTCTTTTCTTTGTTTCTCTTGCTTCAAGTCTCCTATTCATCTGTGAGGAAATTGTCCAGCATTCACGGCCATATAGGAGAATTGATATTACATAGCAGTTCAGCACTCTTTTCTTTGTTTCTCTTGCTTCAAGTCTCCTCTTCATCTGTGAGGAAATTGTCCAGCATTAACTGTCATATAGGAGGATTGATATTACATAACAGTTCAGCACTCTTTTCTTTGTTTCTCTTGCTTCAAGTCTCCTCTTCATCTGTGAGGAAATTGTCCAGCATTCACTGCCATATAGAAGGATTGATATTACATAGCAGTTCAGCACTCTTTTCTTTGTTTCTCTTGCTTCAAGTCTCCTCTTTATCTGTGAGGAAATTGTCCAGCATCCACTGCCATATAGAAGGATTGATATTACATAGCAGTTCAGCACTCTTTTCTTTGTTTCTCTTGCTTCAAGTCTCCTCTTCATCTGTGAGGAAATTGTCCAGCATTCACTGCCATATAGGAGGATTGATATTACATAGCAGTTCAGCACTCTTTTCTTTGTTTCTCTTGCTTCAAGTCTCCTCTTCATCTGTGAGGAAATTGTCCATCATTCACTGCCATATAGGAGGATTGATATTACATAGCAGTTCAGCACTTTTTATGTGATATTTTAAATTAAAGACATCTCACATTCGCTTCAGGTATGTCCATCATATCTGAGGATATTTTC